GCTCTCGGAGGAAGGAGGCAGGGAAGCAAGCCCCAAACCTCATCTCTGTCTCTTCAGGGACACCCAGCCTCTCCCATCACTGTGCCCTTTACTTGCCTTTCACCTGGGGGCACCTGCCATTTCACCCCCTGAGAGAAGCTTGGGACAGACACACAAATGGCTGCAACTTGAGGCTCCTGAGAAGGACACTGGACACCGGGGGTGGCGGTGATGCTGCTGCTCCTTCTGCTGCTCCCAGTAATGCAGGCTTCTTGGAGAGCATTAAGTTGCAGGCACAGTGGTGCACAGATTCCAGCATCTGCGTTTTGAAATTTGCTGTCCCGGCAACCCAAAGGGGACATACTCCCAGCGCTCGAGCACTCCCACCCTTAGTCAGGAGGGAGTGAGGATGGATGAGCACAGTTTGGCGCCTCCTGGCTCCCCTCAGGTCATTGAGGGGCCACGCGTGCCTGCTCACTCGTATGGCCTGCATGCTTCCAGAGGGAATGGGAAGCGCAGGGATCTTAATGTAGTAGGGTGGGGGAGGCTGGAGCAGAAGGTTAAAATAAACAAATTTGGTTTCACTTCCTTGCATGGCAAGAAAGAAAGTTTATTTTATTTATTTATTATTTATTTATTATTTAAGTTGCCTGAGACGACGCTGGGAGAATGTCCCCTTCGGGTTGCTGGAACAGCAAGTTTCAAGGCAAAACGCAGCTGCGTCTCAGGCAACTTTCTCTCTTGCTGCACAAGGAAACAAAGCCAACTTTATTTATGTGGTTGGTTGGTTCTCGGACTGTGGGAGGCGATCTGATGGTACTTTTTATGCCCATGCCCCGCGGTGACCCATTTCATTGCTTGCATCTCACCCCGTGACTCTCGCTCGAGATTTCAGCTGATTTTCTCCCAAGAAGCGGCCATGACTATGAGCACCGGGAAACCTCCCATTCCAGCTTACCCCACCCTACTACATTAAGATCCCCGCACTTCCCATTCCTGCTGGAAGCATGCAGGCCACGCGAGCGAGCAGCCGCGCGAGACCCCCCAATGAGGGTCAGGAGGCGTCAAATTGTGCCTAACTCTCCTCACTCCCTCCAGGCTAAGGATGGGAGTATCTGAAATGCTGCTGGGAGAATGTCCCCTTCGGATTGCCGGGACAGAAAATTTCAAGGGAAAACGCAGCTGCTGGAATCAGTGCGCCACTGCGCCTGCAACCTAATGCTCTCCAAGTAGCCTGTGTTACCAGGAGCAGCAGAAGGAGCAGCAGTGGGTGTCACTGCCACCCCTGGTGTCCAGCGTCCTACTCGGGAGCCTCGAGTTGCTGTCATTTGCGCGTCTCTCCTGAGCTTCTCTCGGGAGGCAAAATTGGAGGTGCCCCACCAGCAGAGCCTCTGGGTGGAAGGTGAGTGAAGAGTGCAGTGACAGGAGAGGTGGCTTTCCCCGAAGCCAGCTCTCAAGGAAGGAGGCAGAGATGAGGCCCGGGGCTCGCTTCCCTGTCGGGCAATTGGGGGGGGGGTGTTTCTCACACGCCTTCAGAGAAAGAAAGGCATGTGAGAAAGCCCCCCCCCCACTGCCTCTCAGAGGTGGGGCAATTGGTTAGCCAACCAATCAGTTTGCAGCGGGCAGGGAAAGTATGGTGCAGACGGGCAGGGCGAGCAAGTGAGCAGGACCGGATGGGCAGGGAGAGAAAATGAGGGGGGAGGGGGAGGGAGCATTCTGGTACTGTGCCACCAGATGAATGGGTTCCAAAAGGTACGGTAATTTTTACAAACGGGTTCTAGAGTACCGGTGAGAACCAGCTGACACCCACCCCTGCATCTTACATATCTCCTCCTTCATCTTCCCCATTTCATTTTTGATCTCATCATTTTTTGCCATGGCTTCTTGGTTTTTACCCATAGCTTCCTGAATTGATTGAAACATCACTGGCATATTCTGAAAAGATTTTAATTTCTCCAAACCCAACATACTTTCTATAGATCTTTGACTGGATGGGCTGGATGCTGCTGCTCATGCTGCAGAAGATGGTGTAGATCAGCAGTCACCAACTGGTGGTCTGTTGACCACTAGTGGTCCACGAGAACATTTTGGTGGTCTGCAAAAAAATTATTTGCATTTTTTATATTGCACTAAATCAGGGGTCCTCAAACTATGTCTCCTGGGATGGATACATGCAATGACTGTGTTGCTGCAGAGAATCTTTTTGTGTGGGTCAGAGGGGGGGCAGAAATTCCTACTTGGGGTCTGCTTCGGTTGCCTGCTGCGGGGCTTTGGGCAAAGGCTGGAGGGAAGTGCTGCTGGTGGTGAAGAGCTGGAGGGCCTTGTTCCATTGGGACTTCATCACGGCCTGGAACTGGCTGACCATCTCAGCCCACTGAGCCTCCAGGTGCCAGTACCTGGCCTTACACTTCCACAGGTCTTTCCTCTGCTTGGAAAGCCTATGCTCGGAGTCCTCAGTGAAGTGCTTCTACTGAGCCTCCTTCTCGGTCAGATCCAATTTGAACTCAGCTGTTTTGCCAACTCTTTCTTGTGGTGGCTGCTTAGCTCCAACAACTGCTTCCTGTTGGGGCCCTAAGGAGCCCGGGCAAGGAGATGAGTGGCTGGGAGGGGAGGGGCGAGTAGAGGCTGACAAGGTGCCCCTCGATGTGAGTGACTTCTAGTTGGCCATGTCCACCCAGTTACATGACCAGCTAATCACACCCACACAGCCAGTCATTAGGCAGATCATATTAGGGGTCAGTGAGATTTAAAATTATGTGGTCCCTGAGGTTCAGATGGTTTGTGACCCCAGTGTAGATAGGCTTTCTTTCCTATCTTAAATATATTTAAACCACTTATCATTTCTGTCAATCAAAAGGTCTTAACAGAGGGAGAAAAAATAATTTTATCTAGACAGGGTAAGAATACTTCCCAAATCTACAAATATTCCTCCTTATATTTTTCTGGTATAGTACCCCGAGACATTAGCCAAAAAAGAATCCCAACCACCCCTGTTTTACAGTCCTATATCTGTCATACATCTCTATAATCCACATAATTAATCAAACAAGTCCATCAACAACTTAAGCTTTCTTTAGGAATAGCTGCTTTCGTCTGTCCTCCTTTTAACAATTTAAATTTGTAATCCACATTGGTCTTTCAACTCTCCCATTTATTGTAATCCATAGTATCTGACAGTGTCTGGGAGATGTAAATGTCTGTCCAGGCCAAGAAAAGAGATATTCCACTTATATCCAATGTCAGTCCAAGCTGTTTCTTGATTTCACCTTACTACACTTATTTATATTTGTAAATCTCCTCATACAAGAGTTAATATTTTCACAGCCTGTGGTTTATATGTCCAGTGAAACTAGCTGCAAATATAATCTTCATTTCTTCTTTGTACTTTATACTCAGCGACAATCACTATTTTCCTTTTGCTTTGACAATTAATATTTGAAATTCACCAGGGCCCTAAGTCCCACTTTATATCCCAATCAATAGACTTTCACTTCAAAGCCATACCAAGATGAAAAGACTGCTTTCATATTCACAATATTCATTAGCCCTTTTTTCAGTATTCCACAGCTCAAGGTAGTTAGTGTTCTCAAAGCCTGTCTCTAAACATTCCACAGTTATTAGCATCCAGCTGTAGAAAACACTTTGTAACTAACAGTTCCCAAGGGCCTCTGTAATCATAACAAAGATAACACCACTTTCACGTCTTACAGTGTCTTCTCATCAGTAGATGGCATCCTTGTGCTTTACTTTTCTTTGGCAGCTCTGTTAAAAGTTGTTTTCTTGACTATTTCAAATAAAGTAATACTCAAATCTTCAAACAACTAAAATTATTTGAAAGTAACTAGTCCAGACTATCCTTTGATTTAAAATTAACTCCTTTATAATCATTTCTCCATTCTTTCCGCATCGGCCAATGGCTCTGAAACTTAGTTGCTGCTACTTTTGAGGAGTGGTAAATCCTGCTCCTCCCCTTTCTTTTGAATCCCACTTTTCCAAACTCATTAGCATTTAAATTGGGATAAATTCCACAGCAGAAACTTTTAAAAATCTCACCCAGCATAGCCACACTGCTGTTTGATTTTTCCTTCCTTTCTCTTTCCAAGCTGTCACAGCTTCAGCTCAACCTTGATGGCCATCTTCTCTCCTGCTGGTTTCAAAGGGCTTTCCTGGATCTAACGGGAGATTGCACTTCTTCTTGTGATCTACAGGGCTTCTCTTCTATCTTTGTCAACCCCTTTGTAATTAACTTTGGCCCTTGGAGACCTCTGGACAGGTGAAATCAGATGGGTACGATGGAGCTCTATTTTCCCCATTCTATTACATTAGCTTCCTGCAAGTATACTCAAGTTACTGAAGACTTGCAACAGGAACAGTCTGCTCTATGTAAGAAGGCTTTTCTGAAAGGTCAAGCTCCCTTTTTGAAATCAGCAAGATATTTACATTATGTAACTATCTTTGACTTCCAAAGAGTACTAATTTTAGCATGTATCAATGCTTTTCCCATTCTTGTAGGACTGATATAAGGAAATTCCCTATGAGCTACAGTTGTGCCTCTGCAGACAATGGGGATATTGAAACTGTATCTCGTGTCTTGTTATACAGTATTGAACCCTCTGTAAGGATCCTAGGACCCATTTTGCAATTCCTTACCTGATAAAACATCCAGGAAATCCTGAGCTTTTTTTCTGTAATTGTTATCCAATTAGTATGATTTAGTTTTCTTGAATACAGCCAAATTCTGTTATACTCCTTGTAAAATTAGACATATTCATTGATCCACAGATGAATCTACCACCAATTGCAACATTCTTATCCTGTTTTTATTTCATTTTATTTTATTTTTAATATGTTTTATTTGTAACTCTCATCTGGGACCATGATAACATTCTCTCTCTCTTTCTCTCCTCCATACTTATGTTTCCATTTGTGCACTGTCTCTTTCCTATCTTCCAGAAGAACAGGACTCAGAAATTTCATTTCAATACATTTTATGATTGAAAGAAAATATTTCTTATCAGAACTTGGGATTACATTGTCGATTTCATATGTTAACAGATAAATAATATGTCCATTATCTAATATTTTAAAAATGAAGAAAAGAGTAAGAAGAACCCTGGAAATGTTTAATAATGGAAGAACTCAAGGACATCTAGATAAATTACCTAAAATTCCTCTTATGCTCTTCACCCCCTTTGGTAAAAAAAACTATTTCAAATATATTATTTCAAATTCAAGGTAGCTCTTGGATTACCACCACAATTGGAACTGGAAAATCCATTGTTCAGTGATGGGTGTGATTGTTAAGTGAGACATTACATGACCATAACTTACAATCTTCCCTGACAGCTTTCCCATAGCTTGTTGGAAGCTGACTGAGAAGGCTGCAAGTGACCCTGGGACATTACCACTGTTGTAAATGTGAGCCAGTTGCCAAACACCCATACAAATCCTAGTGCCAATGTTCTGAAGAATTTGCTGGTTCCACAGCAGAAGAAGCATGTAGTTTATAGCCCAAAGTTTCCAAGAAAATATTCAATTAGAGTTTTGTGCTATATTTGCAGTCAGGATATCGGTAAACAAAGCGGGAATCGCAAATCTGCAGAGGTTTCAAAATGTCTACTAGCAGTTGAGTTGCTGTGATGATCTCTTGGTCAGAAAGAAAGCTGTCTGCACAGATACTTAAAGCGCTGTTAATCTTCTCCTGCAGAGGTGATTGGAATTTTTGTTTTAAGAGATTGGGCAAAAGTTTCTTGCATATCATGATGAGGTTCTGGCTTCCCTTGATGGAACTACAAGAAGGGAGCACAGGCTCACAATCCACAGCTAGGCAGCTAAATATATCCTTGTATTTCTGTTGTCTATTCATCAAGTCTCTGCCTATTAAAAAGAATGAAAAAAATCTGCTTAAAACATAAGTCAATAATCAATTTTCTGTGGGTAAAGCACCGAGAAATTTAAAATATAAAAATAACAGTAACGTCGTAACAAAAGTGTGTTGAATAAAATTGAAATAAATCAGAAACAAAGAGTAAAAACGTAATGCAGTACAATATGACATTAAAATAAAAGCCAGCAACAAATAAATAAAGCAATACAAAAATCTAAAAACACTCAAAAGTTTTTAAGCTATTTGGCAAAAAACATATGTAGTGTTGACTTTGATATTGCTTCAGTTTTCTCATTCATATATTTATTTAACAAATGACAAATTTAATTATTTGTCTTTTATCATTAATTTTTGAAGCATCGTTGAAAGAAAACTTTATTAAAGATAATATACAATTCCATTTAGTTTGACAATCAGTTCTTCAGTCTGGCTTCATCAGAAATATTTATAATCTGTCACATGCTCATTTTGACACTGTTTTCTGCCCATGTAGTTAGTTAATTGGCCTATCATTATATGAGTTAAGCTGAAGGAAAAGTGAATTGAATTTCAGTTCACCTGTCAGCTCTACTAGATTGACCAGATCAGGAAACTGGTTCTAAAGGAAAATTAGAACTACCTTTGTCAAGATTGGCTATAAAAACGTCTGATTGCCCTATACACTCCCCTCGCCCTGCCACCACTTCTTATACTTCAATGAATCAGGGAGGTCTGCCTGCTTCATTTCTGAGTATTATCTTGTTTCTCAAGGTTTTAAAATGTTTACACCTCCTTTGCTTACATAACGATTCTTGCCTATCTCAGTCATTTTCATCCCTCTCCACAGTGCCTCCTAACTTGTTGTGACATATCATTCAAATTTGCATCTGAATACCTTCTTGTTTGTCAATGACTCCTAGCATGCTGGCATCCTGGATAAAGAGCTGTCCATTGTTGAAAACACCAAAGGTGTCAGCATCAACATGAGTAAAATAGAAGAAATAGTTCAGATCATTATTCATCAGGAAATCAATAATAGTGAGGAGCTGAAGAGCTAAATCTGCTGTCACATCAGAAGATGAGCCATAAAATTCCTTCAGAGGTCTAGTACTGGCTGTTACTATTAGTCGGCCACAGGATCCCAAATATTTTGGAAAGGGCCATCCTTCTGCTCCAGGGAAAATCTGCCCAAAAAAAAAAGGAAATATGAAGTGTATCTATGATGACATGGAATTAGTTTACTAGCTTTCCCCATGCTAATGGACTCCTGATATCATGCACTTCCACTCCATTGCCCCTCTATTTAAAGATGACTAACTCTAGTGAAATCAAGAAATATACTGGTTATTCCTTGCTATAATTTTATTAGGGCTACCATAGCTGAGTGGTAAAACTCCAAATGATCACTATTTTCCAGCGCTGAAAGAGAAAAGCTGCAATTTAGTAGTTTTTTTTTTCAGAGTCCATCTTTTCTATATGTTGTCTAAGTCATTTCTAAGTGGTTACAACCTCGTGAAAAAATCAAGCAAACTAAAAGACAGTGCAGATTTAAAATAAGTTAAATTTGTGAATAAAATATTATTTATTCACTTATTTATTAAGTGAATAAAATTATGCAGTACATTAATTACCAAAGAAATATGGATTTGAAAAAAAATATTGCTCAAAATATTAACATATTTAGATATGTTAAAACCATTAATGTTAAATCATTAATCAAATAATTATTACAAGTCAGTGTCAATAGTTAGATTCCATACAAACTACAGTGTAGTACTAAATTTCACTTAAATTATTCTAAATTATAATTATTTGTTATAATACCAAAAGGAGGATGCTCCTAGAAAAACATTTGATATGTTACATGATTTCAGGTTTCTCATTCCTGAACTCACCCTTGAAGACTTGGACTATTTCCTGATGTTTTGCTCTTTGCATTTTTAAAATGTGTCCTTTTTCTTTTTCAGTTTATCAGACAGATCTTGATGCAACCATGGTGGTTTCATCAGTTCTCTCTCTCCCTCTCCCTCTCCCTCTCCCTCTCCCTCTCCCTCCCTCCCTCCCTCCCTCCCTCTCTCTCTCTCTCTCTCTCTCTCGTATAGTTTGGGTGTATCTTAATTATTTCTTTACTTATTTTTCCTTTCAGGATTTTTATCCATGGAATTCTTCCTACTTTTCTCCTTAGCTTTTTAAAGTCAACTTTCGGGATGTTTAGAGTACTAATCCGGCTGCCTTCAGTTCTTCCTGCCCACTATAGGGTGAAATGGTCACTCTCTCCACAAATTCCTAACATTTCCGTTTCTTCAACCACTTTCCCCCTATTATTAAGTATCAAGTCCAATATAGTCGATCCTCTAATTTCTTTTTCTACCTTTTGAAAGATGAAGTTGTTTGTAAGGCCTGGCAAGAATCTGTGGCATATCCCACTTGATTCCTAGTTGATGTCAAGATAGCTAAAATCCGACAGTATTACATTATGTAATTCTGGAACATTCTGGCCATTGCGGATATGTCATCTATAACCTTTGATGCAGTTACGGTTCTCCATTCAAGAATGGTATGCAGTCTCAGATCCTGCTGTAGAATATGACTTGTACATTAGCTAGAGCAGCTTTAAGCACAAATCCATCCATTAGATTAAAAACAATGTTTGTGTCTGTTTAACTCTCAGAGCATAGACAAGATTTATCACAGGTGTCCTCACTTTGGGACCCTAAAGTTGCTGAACTACAGCTCTGATTGCCTCCAGTAATTGGCCATACTTGCTCTATATCAAAAATTGTAAATCTGGTATCTTAAGCACTCAAACCTGGGGAGGTCTGAACTTTGCAAGAGTCAAAGTGGATGAGGTTTAATCATGCAAATGAGTAGACATTTTTAACTAAAGTACCACAAACAGAATAGAATCGCATGCCCTAGAAAAAAATTCTGGATCCAGTACAAGGATTATCAAACCAATTCGTAACTTTTCTCATAACTCAAAAGATGAGTTATAATACATGAAATCAGATGACATTATACCTGTAAAATAATGGGATGAGTGTTAATAGACAACATGTAGAGGAGACGCAGTTTATCCCGGTCTGTAAAATGGTCCATGTAGACACTACCAGCATCTGGAACCTCAGCATATCGCCGCACTATTCGATCCAACAATCTTTGTGATGGACAGCGAAGCATTGGTGTACGAAGGCCCTATTTAAAAAAAAGTTGAGAAGCATAGTCTTTTCTCTGCTTTTATCACAAAAACTTAGATAAAATAAGACTGCCTGTTATTAATTTCCCTTTTGAATATTCTGGAATAGATTCTCAAAATGAGTAATTTAATAATTCAATATAGATTGTCCTCTTTTAACAACAACTCACTCGATGATCATTCAAATTTATGATGGTGCTGAACAAATGGTAATTATGATTTGACCTCATTTTTATGACCATTGCACAACCCTGTGACCAGGCAATGGTGATTTGCAACCTCCTTTGTCAGCTTCCCACAGGCCAAGGTAATAGGGAAGCCAACAGGAAGTCAGAAGTTGTGATCATGTGGGGTACTCATTTAAAGACAGCAACCAGGACTGCTAAAACTGCCATCAATAAATGGTGTGGTCAAGTGATTTTTTGACTTATGACTTCTTTGCTTAATGACAATTTTCAATCCCACTAGCATAGTTAAATGGGTTGCCTATAAATCACTGAAAATATACTTCTAGAATAGTGCTTGTGTTTTGCTATTGATTATAATAAAAAGAGCAATAATACTAACTTGTCTATATAAACAAGCATGAGTATGAGAAACAGGTATAACATTTACTAGGAAGAAATTCCTCCAAATGATAGCAAACCAGATAGCAACCCAACCCCAAAACTTTAGAAGAGTCTACAAAAAGGACTTTTGCATACATCCCGGAAGATTCAAGAAGTTGCAAGGTGTAGTGCAGTGCCATGTTGACAGCATCATCTGCTGATCTATTTGCTTGGTAGACAAACTGTGAGGGGTATAACAGAGGATCCATGATGATTTTCATGTGGGCCAGCACTAACTTCTCAAAGGTTTTCATAGCTACAGATGTCAGAGCAACTAATCTAAAGTCATTTAGTTACTTGATGAAGGGTTTCTTGGGAACCAGAATGATAATAGAGAATTTGAAGCAAGAAGAATATAACACATCTCTAAGGATTTATTAAAGATGCAGGTGAAGATGGAAGCTCAGGGTTTCAGATAGAAAGGAGTTACTCTGTCTGGCCCTGGTGCTTTTCTGAACGTTTGTCTATTAAATAGATCTCACACATCATTTTCTAAGATCACCAAAGGTGATGGGTCAGAAAGATAGATGTAGGTTTTTGGCTATTGTTGGTCTATTTGAGGTGGGGCAGGTAGCGGTAGATGACAGTGATCTCCTGTCAAACCTACAGTAGAATATATCAAGTCATTTACCAGTTAATGATTCTCTTCAGTGAGGGAGAGATTCAAGGCAACAGTAAACCACTTCTGAAGTTGGTAGACTTGCCTATGCCATGATAGACTTGCCTGTGTCAGCCAAGACTGACACAGGGCACCAAAAAGGAAGTTTTGCCTGCATAGTTTGTATATAGTTTGATATAAGAAACAAGTAATAATTGATTACGTTTTCAGATTGGCAGAAGTGCCCTCATGAAATGTTTGGTTCAGCCACAGAAGGGCAGTCATCAGTCAGAGAAACTTAAATGGAAAAAAGTTGTTGCTAGGAAGGTGATAGCGTAATAATAAAAGATCTATAACAATGATGGACTGCTACCACAATGAATATGATAAATTGCACTGATGTATTGTGTTAGCTAAATCACTGTATAAAGGAATGAAGAGGCAATTTCTATATTTCTGATTATTTTTATTTGCTATATTAACTGTCAAACTCTGATTCTAAACTGCACATTTTACTTCCCAGTTGCTGCTGCTATTCTGTTGCCCGCCTACAACTGAGTTGCTATGAAGTGATAATTGAAGTTCTGTAATCAGTATCTTGAAAAAATGGACAGGCATTTGAATTGGTTAAGTATAAATTCAAAACAAGATCAGCATAATCTTCCTTGACTGAAGAAGAAATCTGATTTACCTATTTAGGATTAAATTAGACCATCTTTCTATACTTGACCCTATGTTTACTAAATTGTTTTTATACTGTTATAACAAATAAAATCTTTGCAGCTTTTTATTTCAACACGGCTCCATGAGACCACATAGATAGAGGTTACATACACATCTCTAAAACAGGTTGATTGAATCCCGAATGAGACTAATTGTTGTTACAATACTTTATATAGTATACTTGGCACCTGTATTTTGTTAGCATTAAACCTTTTGCTCTGTATGACAATATTTGCTAATTTCAAATACATACAATTTAAAAAATAGTCCAAGGGGAAATGTCAGCTACTGCAAACTGAAATGAAAGCAGCCTGGATGGCATGGTTGGGGAGTAACATTTTTCTGCTAGTGACAGTTTTGTCAAGAGATGCATATAAGCACAAATCTCATGAGCAGGCAAGGTTAGCAGACAAGGTTTTCAGCTTGGACCATTTGTAATTTTCAGTAAAGATTTCCACTGTGACACACAAAGTAATTATTGTGGCAGCTGCTGAAGTAGTAGTTGGATCAGGTAGGATCATCCACATGATGTGAACAACTTTATTTCACAGTCTATCATTTTCATTCAAATACATTAAAACAATGCCATAATTCTCTGCTCTATATAAAACAATTACTCCAGCCCAATAATTTGAGTTAAGTCTCCTATATATCCAATACCACATAAGAGAAGAAGCAGTTATTGGAAAAGTTCAACTGATTTGATTCAGAAGTGGGAGTTCATGCTCAAAAATGCCCCTCTTCACTGTTGCTTAACTTGTTGGTAAAGATGATTGATTATTAGGTAAAGCAAAGGCAACAGTGCTTTTTTTTCAATAATTTTATTAAGAGTTACAAGTAGAAAATTAATGCAAACTAGAAAAAATATAGAAATATTAAAAAGGAATATAAAAAGTAAAAAAAAGTAACTTCTCCCTTCATCCCAACAAGTAAAAACAATTTTAATATCACAATTTCTTAATACAGCATGTACTCCCTTCACCCCATAATTCATCGCTTAACAAAAGAACAAAATCAAAAAATCCTGTCATTTTTTTCTTTTATCAACAAAAATCCAATGTTAAAAAATCTAATTTTCTATTTTAACTGTGATTGAATAAGCCAACAATGAAATCATTCTCTAAAGTTTTAATGTTCTTAATTTTTAACTCCTTCAAACCAAGTCCCAGGACCTGTTTTCTGATCATCTTTTTGTAACCCCAAAATCTTTCAAATCTTTATCAGGCCTCTTTTGTACATGCAGTAATCAAAACTTGCTCTTTTTCCTTTCACTTTTCATGAAGTCCTTCAAGATGTTAACATATTTCTTTTATAAATCCAGTAAAAAAATAATACCCAAATCATTGCTTGGTTTAATAATTGTCTTTTAATCTCCTTTAAGCAATGAAACATCTATAGGCTCGATTTGTGTGTCCACCACATCTTTCTACATTATTCTTCTCACTGCCTCAAAAATTTAAATCTACATTAAATTAATTTCAAACTTATCCATTGTAGCTAATACCTAAATAAAAACCTATAGGATAAAAATTAGGAAGTGGGTCCTGAAACAAGCCAAGAACCAAGGCAAAGAGGCAATCAACAAATACAGAAATAAAGAAACTTATGGACTTTTAAATACTTTCCTCTCTACATAGACAATGGGCGGCTTGAGTAGAAACCATCATTCCAGATCCAGGGAAACAAAATATTCCCAGACATTTCATTGGAAGCTATCTACAATCCCAGGACTATCAGTTCAAGCCCTAGTAATTTCTAATATGGAGCATAAAATATAGAAACTGCTATTGGTTTAAATACATATACCTTCAATCACCACAATTATAAGCAATGGTTAGGGATTCCACATCTCCATTGTTGGACTTATAAAGATATCTATGAGACAGTAAGACTCAATCTGACTGAGATGTTACATTTTATTGTGCCCTAAATCTAAAGCAGGGTTGCCTAGTCTTAACATGATCAGCTGCTTCATAGGGATTCAGGTTTATTTCTTACTGAGTATTGGAAAGTTTCTGCAATGCTCAAAAGCCCTGAGATATGGTCTTATTCACTACTCAGATTCTGGATAGAGTTTGGCAGAACAAACAAAGTACCTTTGACAAAGTAGACCATAACCTACTACTTGATAAAATAGAAAAATGTGGGTTAGACAGCATCACCAGCAGATGGATTCGTAACTGGCTGACCAACCACACTCAACAAGTAGTCCTCAATGGAACTGCATCTACATGGAGGGAGGTATGCAGTGGGGTACCCCAGGGCTCTGGTTTAGGCCCAGTACTTTTCAACATCATCATCAATGATTTGTACGAGGGGATAGATGGGGAACTCATCAAATTTGCAGATGACACCAAACTAGCACGAATAGTCAACATTCCGGAAGATAAGCTTAAGATACAGAAGGATCTTGCCAGACTTGAACATTTGGCGCTATCTAACAAAATGAAATTCAATGGTGAAAAAAGTAAGGTTCTACATTTAGACAAGAAAAACAAAATGCACAGGTACAGTTTATGTGGTACCTTGCTCAATAGTGCTGATTGTGAGACGGATCTTGGAGTCCTAGTGGACAATCACTTAAATATGAGCCAGCAGTGTGCTGCAGCTGCCAAAAAAGCCAATACAGTTCTAAGCTGCATAAACAGAGGGATAGAATCAAGATCATGTGAAGTGTTAATACCACTTAATAATGCCTTGGCATTTATAATGCCTAAGGCCACACTTGGAATACTGCATCCAGTTTTGGTAGCCACAATGTAAAAAAAATGTTGAGACTCTAGAAAGAGTGCAGAGAAGAGCAACAAAGATGATTAGGGGACTGGAGGCTAAAACATATAAAGAACAGTTGCAGGAACTGGATATGTCTACTCTTATGAAAAGAAGGATTAGGGGTGACATAATAGCAGTGTTCTGATGTTTCAGAGGCTGCCACAAAGAAGTTGGAGTCAATCTATTCTCCAAAGCACCTAGGGGTAAGACAAGAAGCAATGGGTGGAAACTAATCAAGGAGAGAAGCAANGAACCCAGAAGGACATTTCTTTCATCAGGACAAAGCAGACGAGCTGTG